CCAGTAGGCTCCGTCTCCACTTCCTTGAGATTGAAATGAAGTCTATCTGGTTTCTGGTGTGTCCATCTGGTGAAATCCATGTTGCCTTGTGTATATCCCTGTGTTTGAACACACTGCCACCAATCACCAAATCATTGAAGGCGCAGAAGTCTGAGAAGAGTTCGCCATTTTCGTTCGTTTCACCGAGGGCCTCATGACCCATGGTGAGTTCTCTTCCTGTATTGTCTCCTCCCAGTTTCGCATTCATGTCGCCCATCAGGATTTTGATATCGCTCCTTGGGACGTTGTCCATTACTGTTTGTAGTTGACTGTAGAAATCCTCCTTCTTCTCATGTTCTGAGGCGTTTGTAGGCGCGTAGCACTGAATGATTGTAACCTTTTTTCCTTTTGAGTTGAACCTGGCTGTCATTATCCTGGAGGAGATTGGTTCCCACTGCATGAGAGCTTTAGCCGCTGTTGGTGACATCACGATGGCTACTCCCTCGGTGTGCTCGTGATTGTCCTCTGGGTGACCGGAGTAGATTATTGTCTCTCCAGTTGATAGTTGGCTCCTTCCACATCCGTTCCATCTGCTCTCGCAGATTCCCGACACTTCTATTCTATATCTCCTCATTTCTGCGGCTACCTGAGCAGCCTTCCCAGCTTCGTACATTGTACGAACATTCCACGTCCCCATCCTTATTTTCGCTTTCATCGAAAGAAGGCACATCGGCTGACTGGCTTCCCGAAGGCTTTCACCAGCCCGCGTCATTTCACTTCCCCGATTCCAGCGAAAAATAAGGTCACTATTTGTAATTTTAGAATTTTGAATATATTTGTGCGTTGAAGTTTTAGTAGCAATTTGGTTAAGTTTTGGGGGTGGAGTTGCTAGCACCACGCCCCAACCCTCTCTCTTTATCCGGGCTTGGGACCGGCTAGAAAACTAGTGAGCTAGTATTCTAGGCGAGGTTCCCTAGGTGTCTAGCCAACAATAACGTCCGTTTTAAGGGGATAATCGGCTTGGGCGCAGCCCTTGTGCCGCTCAATTGAGTCAATTCCATACATATACATAAATGAAGGAAAAAGTTGTGTGTGACTTGATATGATTATGAGCAATAATTTGTGCTCGAAAAGTCATCAGTTAATATTACTGTGTAACACTGTGTGATTTATCAAAATAATATCTTATCCATAATGGAGTTTATGATTAGTTTTGACGTTGTGCTTTGGGGTGAATCATCCTACGGCATAACAAAAGGTCATGTTTATCTGATTCAGTGACGGAGATGCTGCTACGGAATTAGTGAATGGGATCAAAGAAGTTAGTCAACTCAACTGAACCTCAGGCGTTTCACCGGCAATGATCAATTTGTTTATCCGTGTTGATTGAAACACATAATGGTCAATACAATATTGAAAGGGCAGCAGCTTGGCAGCTTCGCTGTGGTGTGATTAACTACATTAACACTGTCTTCAAATAATCGTCAACAAATACATCTTTCAGAAGCCGTAAGTGATACATTTTCCCATCGCTAGTTTGGGCTGTGTTAAGAGCAGGCTGACCACTAGGTTAACAATAATTTATATTTCGTGTAAACGGGTGTTTACAAGGAATGCATGCCATTTCTACAGGCAAGGTCGTGATTTATCAAAAATTATACTTTTTCAAAAGTTTAAATTGTTCGATAATGGCACAAGCGACCATAACAGGTTCTTATAAATGTTATATTATGAACCCTTCACTATCAAAGTTGAGCGACAACCCAAACTTCGTTCCGTTTCATGCCGTTAGTCATGGTCAACCAGTAAACCGCGTATATTTGGGTAAGTGCTGTATCGCCACGTTATTAGAAGCTTTTTCAGGAAGAGAAGAAGGTCCTGGGAAACACAGCAATAAGTCTCCAGTTAAACTTACGAAGAAGTATTGGTAAAGCAATAGGTAATTTTCAGTCCATATGCCTCCAGGAACGAGAATGATGGTGAATTAATCCATATAAAATGACAATTGGAGCATGCAGGAGCATGATTTTATCATCACGCGAGTCAGTGAGATTTCAATTGCAACCATCAACTGTGTTCATTATTTCTTTAATAACTAGATTTACTGGCGCCGAAGGGATAGTTATCAGGATTTTTTATTGGTATAAAGGTAATATTCCACAACTGTAATCCAGGATGCTTCGCGGAGGAAGGTAACTCACGAGGCATTTGTAGGATATGGGACCAGTAATGTTTGCAGATCATTTGTCATTGTAAGTGGTAGAATATCTACATTCTCTATTCTCATTCAAAAGTCATATGTAAGCTAAAATTGTGAGAGAAAAAAGAAGACAAACGACAGCAGCGCAGAAGAAAGCAAGTGGAGTCCTCAAAGAGTGAGTTATAAATTTATATATATACATATTCTGTGTAGAAACTGTGATTATGTTGGTACAATAACTAACTACTCCTGTTCTGCTAACTTTTACATTATGTGTGAACCAATATTAATGTCCTGCGTAGAAATGTTTATCATGTCTTTCCAATAATATTTACATTTATAATTGTAGTTCTTTGTAACTTATACGTTTGATGAACTTAAAATTTCTATGTAAGGTGAGATCTATATCTATGAAAAATAGGGTGTAGGATTCAGACGCAGTAGTGCACTGTCATCCTTGAGCAGTTTGATGACTGAGGAGATGAGCACCGGAAGTGTGTTTGCATCACGCACATTGGCTGGTAGTCTGTTCCAAAATGACTGAACACTTATTTAAGAGGAAGTTGTACCGCATGTAAGTCTGACAATGCTCTTTAGCAACTAGGCTGTCGTGATTTCTAGGACTGTAACTGATGACCGCGGTAGATTTAGTTATTGGCCTGGAGGAGCGCAAGAGAAGAATAGTTGGCTTGTGTTGGAAAATAAGGTTTAGATCAACATGTCTTTTCCAGAGTGGTTCTATTTTCAGTCTGTCGCAAAGCACAGAGTATTCGAGGCTACATTCTACACCAAAAATTCTTGAGGTAAATTGCCGCTGCACTCCTTCTAATTTAAGCTTGGCACTCTGTCACAGTCCTCTAAGAAGAAACGGACAGTATTCTAAAATAGGTCGGACACATACTTTGTATAATAAAACTCTAGTTTCACAACAAAAAATTACGAGTTATGCGTCCAAGGAGCCTTCGTGTTTTACATTTGGCATAATCAGTTTGTTCAGAGAACGTTAAGTTACTAGAGTATCTGATACCGAGATCTACGACTGAGTTGAGCTATGCTAGTTTTCGCCCATTTATTTGAAGAGTTAGGTCAAGGTTACTGTTGCCGATACAAATCCAGCCGCATTTGTCAATGTTAAATTTTAGATAGAATTCAGCACACCATGTTGAGAGACTACTTAGTTCAAGACGTAGTTTACTTACCATATGGTTTAATTCACGAAAGAAGCAGGAGTAAACGACTTTGACGTCGTCAGCATATAGGAATGGTTTACCTGAGATGAATCAGCTACAAATGCTGTTAATGTAGACTGTAAACAAAAGTGTTCCTAGGACACTACCTTGCACAACCCCACTTGTGATCTGCCTAGGATGAGACAATACAGATCCAACTTTGGTTATTTGTACCCTGTTGCTTAGAAATGATTTTAACCAGTTCAGTAATGGATTGCGAATTCCACATGAGTACAGCTTCTCAAAGAGAATACTGTGAAATACCATGTCAAATGTCCTAGATATGTCGAAGTAGAGAACAACGACTAGCTTATGCGCTTCGCGACTACTAGTGATGCAGTTGAAAAAGTCGGAGTGGCAAGTAACGCAGGACCTATTCTTGAGAAATCCGTGCTGAGACCTTGTAAGAAGGTAATCTGAAAATTTGTCTTTAACAACTTTCACATCATTCGCGGGATAACTGTGGTTATATTCTTTATTTCTTTACACGTATACGTCAGTTGTCAGATGAAACGACTACTACAGTTCCAGGTAACAGCAATAGCATAGCAGAAATCACTCTTCTCGTACAGTATCAAGTAACATCTGTCGATTCACCACCACAAGCTGTGCCGCATAGGGCAAGGAGATCTATTATACCAGAGTCAGTAGAAGGGTAGAAGTAGCCCTGAAACATAAGGAGAGCAGAGAAAGATTGTTAAACACTGGTTGAGTAGTTAATATGTAACATTACCAAATTCACTAAACACGATACACTAAAGTAACATATTGATCAGTAAGCTCTTTAACCTTTAATTTCTGACGATAAAACTCAAACCAGAAACAAGGATTAACTTGGGAATTCGTTTTGAAGGGAATTCTATTGAAAGATATTTTGAGAAGAGTTTTTTGAAACTTGTCGGGGTGCTGCGTCGGTGGCACAGTGGTTAGGACTCTCGCCGACCATGCACATGGTCCGGGTTTCGATCCCCTGCCGACGAACACCCGATATCTATGGTCGGCCTGCAAAATTTGGGCTACCGATATCCATGCTGAAAATTCCATACTTGTACTGAAAATACGGTGTGGCATCAAGCTATAATCAAAATTAGAAAAAATAAAAATAAGTATTACTGAACAATAGCGACATGGTCTTAACATACGGCGTGCCGCAAACCAAATATAACCAATCCTAGCACCACTCTTCTAGAAGTAATTCAAAGTTGTGACAGCTGAGTGGCTAGACGAACTGCTCGTAATCTGCCAAAGACTGGAAACTCTAATCTTACAACCAAGAACTGAATCAAAGTAATCAGTCCGGTTAACACGAGCTAGTAAAAACGATACTGGATATAATTGATCATCAACTTAAAAAACACTGCAAATTGTTTCTTGTTCCTGAAAAGAAGCCTCCAAGATATTGGTTCCGCAGATATTGACAAATAAAATGACCTTGACAATCCATAGGCAATTGTTATATACTTTGTTTTATAATTTCAACTATGTACACAGTTGCTATACCTCTCATTTGAAACTTTGTCATGCTGTCAGAACAATGAAATACTTTAAAATAAACTAGTCTAAACACTGTGTTCCAATAGTTTGTTTACATCCGTAATCCCATTCCTTTGCAAAGTAGGTCGGCATGATGAAAAATTGATATTCAACTTTATGAAATTTGTATTATCCCAAGCTTACTATAATGCTGAATTAAATATCACTGATTCTGAAATAATTCTAACATTCTATAGTGAGTAGATTCTGAATCTGTTCTGAAATGATTTCTTTAGTGGCACAGACTAGAACTCAGTGCTGGTTTTTCAGCATGACTGGCACTAATTCATCACCGTGTTCTTTTTCTAGGCATTTTCAGGAGTAGATCAGAACCAACTGGTATTGCTTATCAGCGTTGTTCCAGCCCTCACAGGACATATTCAGCACTGACTAGCATTACCATGGAACGGAAAGACTGCTGCTAATAATCATCAACTGTGTCGTATGCTGGCGCAGTTCATATGGTTTACAGAAAGAAATCAGTTTTATAATTGAGAGAAGTTTGTATTTAGAAACTCCAAGCTCACAACAAATCTAAACTTATTCTAACCTATTCTTCATTTTATGGTAAATGAAGATTTTACCAACCCACTATGTTCTGAAATAACGCTGGCCGTGCTTAATATGTCTTGTGAGGGCTGGAACAACGCTGATAAGCAATACCAGTTGGTTCTGATCTACTCCTGAAAATGCCTAGAAAAAGAACACGGTGATGAATTAGTGCCAGTCATGCTGAAAAACCAGCACTGAGTTCTAGTCTGTGCCACTAAAGAAATCATTTCAGAACAGATTCAGAATCTACTCACTATAGAATGTTAGAATTATTTCAGAATCAGTGATATTTAATTCAGCATTATAGTAAGCTTGGGCCGTCAAGTGAGGTCCACTGATAGCATCCTGCAAATAAGCGAAATAAAAGATTAGTTGAGGAAAAATTGTGCTCATCACATTTTCAGCATATACATTTAGAAAAGTTTACTTACATAACTGCCACTGTTATAATTCCTGTTATCTTTTCTATTTGCCAAGAAATAAAAATCAGTGTTGTGAATAATACACGTTGACTAAACATTGACTTAAAGTAAGCAGGCGTTTCACAATATTACCTGAATTCCTTTCTTCAGGTTACGCCTTTGGACATGATCTTTCAAATTATGAAAGTACGATTTCTTGGCGCTATCCATTATATCACCAACCTTTCTTGGCCTCATCAGCTGGCCGGAGAACTGCGTCATAATTACAGCTACAGAAATAAGTACTTCATTAATGAACCTTATTTAGAAGCTGACGGTATCGACGTTCGCGAATTGTACGGAGTATACTAACGCAAGATCTAATACCAACAACTTCTGTAGTATTCGTTCCTCGTGTACCAAAGGGAAAGCAAAACAACAGAGTTTGATCGTCTAAACTACCAGATATATTTCGGGACCAAATCGTGGACTGAGGTGAATGCTTAGCTGGCTAGTGATCGTGCACGAACGTGACACGATGGAGTACCAAATGGCATGGATGCTTGACCGGAAGCCTTCAGCTAAACAAGTCGACTTAAACAGTGAGGGTCAGCATCCAATGTTCAGTGATGATTGCTGTGGTCAATAATTTTGGGGAATTATTTACCGCTACACTTACATCTAATTATTTTATGAAAGGCATAAGGCACAGTGCTGGACTTTGTCAAATTCCCCTGGAAAGTAAACTTCAAACCCACTTCAGGTTTTAGAACATTGTGCATTATGACTTTAAGTAATAACTTTGGATCACTCTGAAGGCAGCCAACCATTTTAGCAGTCTACAAGAAATGAGAATTAAATATGTCAACTCACAAATATTCCCTTGTATTTTTCGTCTCTTAAAGATGCTTCCATGCATAACTGTGCATGGTGTTTCACTGGCTTATTTCTAGCCATGCTAAAAAGACCCAACAATAATTTGTGCATTACATCCAGGTTTTTTGCGCTCATTCGAGGTTTTGAGCGTGAAATAAGCTTCCTGGATTGCATAAAGTCTACCACCTGATGTATGTTCATCATTGCTTAAATGTGACATAATATGCAGTTCATCGGCTTCAGTACCTGATTTTCAGTCTGGACAGTCAGGCGCTATCACCGCTAAGCATCATGAAGATTGGTCATTGGGATATGTCTCTCAAATTTGAAAATGACTGTTGTAGTTATCATGAATCGGACCTACTTCGTGGTTTGGATGGACAGTCAACTCACCGGTGATTTTGGCTGTTTTGGGCTGTTGTGGTACCTTTTAATGGAAGTATACTACACAGATGTCTGTTCGGTGTTTTAGCTGTTCTAACTTGCTGCCATAACTTCATGATGTAGAGTGCCTCATTTGATTATACATACGAGATTAAGGAGTCGCTGGCTTGATTGATGAGAGGTGGAATAGCTTGATTACTCAAAATGAATTCAGGGAACTATTGCTTGTGTTTTAGGAAACTTTGTGTTCTTCGTCACATGTAGTCGTGAAACTTTGTATCGGGAGAGCTTTCTCTCAAAGCACTTGAATGCTGCTCTTTACTGCCTGTTAACACATCCAGTTGCATTAATATACAGACTTTAGTAACCTGAAAAAATTACTGAGATTTCACTGATATGTCAAAATTTTCTTCTGCAAATAAGACAAAACTGATTGCTATTAATGGACCCAAAAATGCCTTCCTTAGAATGCTTGACAAATCCACTAAAAGAATAGATTAGAGAAATTATTGTAATAAATGTCAATTTATCTGCTCCAAATTTGCATCTGCAGGTTCGGATAAATTATCGGTGAAATTTATTTACCTTATCGAGATGAAAATTTAGATACGTCATGTTGGCATGCATGAATCTTGTGTGGTAATTAAACGGCGCATCTATAGCTCCAGATGCCAGCAGTATAGCTAGTGATTCTTGTTGTGCTGGCTGGTTTGCGTGTTGAATATTGTAAGCTTCAAACTTCAGCTAGCGGCGTGATTTCAAGAGACTAGGAATGATGGTTTAGCACTTTATTTGTGAACAATAGTACTAAAGTCAGCATATGGAGTTACAATTGGGAGGATGCAGGTTAGTTTGAGGAGTGATAAAAGTTTATGAGGTAAGGTGTCAAAATGTTACCGTTCAGGTTTGCATTTTCTTATGACGCACGAGGTTATGCTGTCTAAAAAACTGTTTCCAGAAGTTTCACCATAGTGACAATACTAAAATGTTGTCATCATAATTTAAGGTGCTTACACTATAGCATGAGTCTGTTGATGGTGTACTGCAGATAAAGATAGATGTGACGGAAATAGTATGTCCCTACTGGGTGGCCAGTAAGCTTTATATGCTTAGTGGGAACTACAAAATGTTAGCTTTGTTAGTTAGTTAGTTACGCTAACTGAACGAATTCGAGCTCATCTTCCTGTTGTCCTCAATCATAAATAATGCTCATGAGTGTTGTGTTGGCATCTATGCTTCTAGACCTGTGCTTTGACTAAGCAACTTGCTGACTGTTTATCCTGATTTACGTGATGTGGGCACATAATTTAACGAGAGTATGGGGAAAATATAGCAATAAACATTCACAACACAATCCAACAATCACGCTCTTGTACCTTGAAAATCCAACTCTCCTCAGTGTGTCTTCTTTACGCTTCATCATGACTGATAAATAAATTTGCTGCTGAGGGTGAAATGGCTGACGGTCAATTCAATTCACATATTTATTTGGTGCTCTGTAACCTCAAGACTGTTGGTGTTTAAAAATAAGTACCCTTCAGTTGTCAAAATTTCAAAGCTTTTGTCCACTTATGAAAGACCTTTGTGTCAGCGAGCTCAGGCACAACGCCGTTAAGCTATGGGCTCACGTGAATCAGCCCGCATCTCATTTGAACTTCTCAAAAAGTAATTGAATTTCAGTCGAGACGATGGAAAGATTTCAGTTACCCATACACTTCTGTTAGGAAACGAATTTATCTGTTTATTTCGATTTAGGCAGCTTACAATTTTTTGCACTAAACACTACTTATGATCAATTGGTTTGAAGAAGTTTGAATTTGTAGCTACAAAAAATTATTATGGACTTTATATTTATTCAAGAAAATTAGAATACCTGTTGTTATTGATGAGAAGACTTCTCATTTTAGTAGACTCTCAGTAAGGTTGTATTTTGTGGCTTTTTGAATTTTCTTCTAGAAATATGATTTTTTTATCACATTATCAACATACGCATTTTAAATTAGTATTTTTCTTTGGGGTATTTTGCATTAACAATCACTGCAAGGTGATTTGGAAGTTACAAATTCGTGCAAAGCTGATAAATTTCAGCACTAAATTCGTCCGTTTATATTATTACGGACTTCATTTTGAAAACTGTGAATTCAGTAGACCCAATTAATTATGCTAATCTCGCGAGGAAACTCTACCCTGGACCCAATGTACTTAGCCTTGAAAAAATATTATGACCGTGACTTCGGAGGCTGTAGTGAAATTTGTACAGAACTTCTGAAGCGCAAGCCATGCAACGAAGTAAGCACAAATTAATTTTACTTACTTTTGGTATGTTGGCATGCCGGCTTTTGAATGTGAAGACGATTACAGAAAATTTGTTTACCGATGATGAGATATATTCAGAAACTAACTTACCTGACTTCTCATTTTGCGAAGAAAATGCTATCAGCCTTCATGATTCTCATCTCTCATCAAAAACTTCAAGACAAGCTACAAGTGGTTTGAGTCAGGCTGTGCGGTGAGTTACAAATATGACGAAATATAATATCTTTCATTTAGCCCATCTAACTTGACAAGTAAACCATTAACTGGTGTTTACAACTTGGAATGTATCGAAAAAGGCTCTAGTTCAGTAGAAACAGTTATTTGTAGAACAGCAAGGCCTATGACAACTTATTACAATAGAAATCAAGGAAAACGAACAGTGAGTAAATTTACTGTTTTAATTTACCGACATAAAACCATGAACTTTTCAAAGTTAAGCTTGTTTACATCTCATTATGAGCAACAATACATATAAAGTAATCTGTTGTATAAAAAAAAACAGTATCGCAGATGATGAATTCACTAAATTGCTTGCAATTTAAAAGATGAAATGATCTTAATTCTATGGAACAAAGTACCTAAGAATTCGTTAAGAGCAATTCAAACTTTGTACACATTATAAACATCAGCGACTGGAAAATATACATTTCAAAAACTAACTATCACCAGCTAGATTCTAGTGATCTAAACACTAGTGAACCGCTCTTATTATTTAGAGTCGGGCTTATCAGAGACGCGTCTCGAATAGCCGAATAAGTTCAAACCACTTTGGGAAACTAGCAATCGGCACAATGCAATCAGCTATTTATAAAGTAAAACAGAGAGTTAAATTTTACCTTCTCCCCATGGAAACCCAATAAATTCAGATCACAATGTATAACGTGCTGATAGAATTTTCTGAATAAAGTATTTACTAGGATAGAGTTAAACTACCTTTACATATACGTATCCGTTTCAATCATCGCCGAATATTAAATTCCAGTGATTTCTGCTTATCCATACACCAAGTTATTATTGAGATATCAATTATTAAGATATCACTACAGAAAAGGTAACAACCTAAGATTTTAATTTATTTCTTAGGATGAGTAAACAAGCCAGTCAAAATTAATTAAATTAAGGACTATCATATTGATAATTTGCTATTTAATTACTATGTGCACAATAATTTCATTCTTCTAAGTATAATTTCAATGAGTTTTTGACAAAAAATAATAATATGTAATTGCTAGATCTTCAAGCATTTCTGTTTCTTCTGAAATGCATTTGATAAGTGTCACATGTCACTGACTTTAGCATTTTCACGGCTTATTTTAGTTCGTATTGTTTGTTCCATGACTGATTGCTACACTCGACTTGTAGAAGTTATTTAGACTCATGTAAATAAAATTAGGATTTTGCACTGCGGTTACGTGTATTTAACTAAGAAGTGTTATTTTTACAATATTTAAGGTTTTTTTCATAGTAGTCTAATTGTTCAAGGAGCAAATAGAAGGCTAATATCTTACGGTTTCACTGCGAAAGTGCTTTTCATACTTTGTACTTATTCAGAAAGTAGATTTTTGCTCCATTTTACTGCCAATAAATTCCTAATTATGACTGTTTTAAATACGTCTGTTATTACGAAGAGTGAGTTAATGATTCGCATACTCCTCGAAATAGATAAATCCACATAGACGGTATAAATGACTATGAGCCTGACAAAATTTTGTAATTATTATTCCATGATAACTATACTCTAGGACTTACGAAGAAAATAGTGAAACCAAAACAGAGCTTTTATCAAATGATTCCTGTATAGATGCTTAACGGAACCTATTCGTCAATGCTTATTTTAAGGTTATATTATAGTTGATATTTCGAAGATCTAATTATTATTTAAATCTCCGAGGAATATTTTATTTTCTGTTCATCTTCAATTTACCCTCATATGTCTCTGTAAGTTGCTTTTCAAAGTAATAAGTTTTGTTTTTGATTAAATTGAAGTGATTACTTAGTTTAAATTCTCTGTTTTGATGTCTTACTCATGTAGTCATTTGTTATCAGTCTTCTTTACAATTAGGTTACTCAAACAGTGATCCTGTTCAATGGATTCGTTTAAATCTAGCAAAATATGCTAAAAATTCAGAAATTGCTTGTTCCCTATTTGATTACTTATTCTATATTACAAAAGAATATCGTGAAGCACTCAATCTAGTTAAATTGGTTCTCAATCTTAATGACAAGAACAACATTCAAAAACGAGGTACAGTTGATACACACACTAATTAATTATAACTCAGAAGTACTATCCAAAAATCCCTTTTCACACAATGAAAGTGTTGAGACGAATTGGTGGTGGTTGTTACAACAAGCACGTTGTTTGTATTGGTAGGTGACACTGTTTTCTTGATTTTTTAAAAGTTAATCATAAACCATAGAATAAACGTCTATTCACTTTAGTTATTTAAGAACATCATATTCCAAATTCCTCTCTGAAGAGCATCAAAAGGCATTGAAATCTCTCAGAAATAATGACAAAATTGTCATACTGCGACCTGACAAAGGCTCAGGAGTGGTACTGATGGATAAAGATGACTACATCGAAAAAATGAAAACTGTGCTGAATGACCCATTGAGGTTTAAAGTCGACGACTGCCAGAAAGACAAGACAGATGCAACTGAAAAACGCATCACAAATATACTGAGAGATCTTCTTAAGAAGAATTTGATTGACAACAACACGTACAATGAATTGAAACCCAGAGGGTCCCGCTTGCCATATATGTAAGACCAATACTTTCGATGATCAACTCTCCTCAACATAAGGTTGCCCGTTGGCTTGCGGAGAAGTTGGAACCCATTCGCCGACGTCTAGCTGTGCATACCGTAAAAGACTAATTTCATTTTGCCGAAAGCGTGAATCATATGAACGTTTCAAATAAGTTCATGGTCTCATTTGATGCAACATCCTTGTTCACAATGATCCCAATCAATGAAACCATTGAAATCATTTGTCAACAGTCTGATCTGCTTCCACTACCAGAGTCAGAATTCAAACGCCTACTGCTAATGTGTACCATGGATGTACAATTCCAGTTTAATAACACTCTTTACCGACAAATAGATGGTGTAGCTATGGGCAGTCCACTTAGCCCTGTTTTAGCAGATATCTTCATGTCAAATCTCGAGAAATTAAAGTTGAAGCATGCAATCGATGAAACAACTTCCTACTGTCGTTACGTTGATGACACATTTATAGTGTGCAAAAATGATAGTCATGCTTCACACCTACTAAGATTATTCAATCATGCACACGCCAATATCAAGTTCACTGTGGAACATGAAAGTGACGGGAAGTTCCACTTCCTCGACATCGCCATGGAACGCCTAGAAGAAGGTAGTCTTCAAAAGTCAATTTATCGTAAGTCCACATGGAAAGGACAATACTTAAATTTTAATAGCTTTTGTCCAAATAGCTATAAACGAGCACTGGTCAAGACTTTGTACTATAGAGCGAGAAGAATATGCTCTACAGAGAAACTAGAGGAAGAATTTGAGTTTCTTGAAAAGACTTTGAAGAGCAATGGGTACCCTCAAAGGTTTATCAATAAGTATGGAAGATCTGCAGTCGCAAATGAAAAACTAATCACAGTAAGAAAAAAGCCAATCTACTTTGAGCTTGATTATAAAGGTGAAAACATTGCAGCGATGATCAACAGAAGGCTGAGTACATCACTAGCCATAGTCTATCCTGCAGCTAAGCTCGTTCCTGTCTTTCGAACAACTTGCTCTCTGGTGCAATCAAAAATCGATAGATATCCTTCTCATGTTAACTCCAACTGTATATACAAATTTACATGTATCTGCGGGAGCAGTTACATTGGAAGAACAGAAAGAAGAGCATATCTACGATTTTCTGAACATGTACCAAAAAGCTTACGTCTAAAGGGAACAAATGCTTTAGGCAGTGCCATCGCCAGGCATCTTCTTGACACGGGTCATGAGGTGGACGTGGAAAAGTCATTCAAAGTTATCAATAAGCAAAAGAGTTCAATACTCCTTAAGTTTGCCGAAGCCTTTTCCATCAAGCGCCTGAAACCTGATTTGTGCGTTCAGAAAGAAGCAGTTATCAGTCTTTCTTTGCCCTGGTAACTGGATATTTTTCATCCTAATGCGAGATACTGAAAAGTTTTCATTTTGTATGATTATTAATGCTCGGAATTGTGTTCAAGATTGCATATATATACATATATGTATATATTATTAGTGTATGTGTATATTGATCGATTGATTTCTGTTTAAAATGAACTCTGTGTAAGTATGATAAATTGTTATTGTAGATACATTTAATAATGTTTTTGCCCTGTAAGCAGCTGAAGAGAAGGCGACGAAATAAAATATGGTACCATTTTATTCTGCAAAATCTGTAGTTGTTGCTTTGTTTAAATTCATTAAGGGGAACAAATGTATGAAACATGACTCTGTTTGCCTTAATTTAATTATAAGGGTTAAAAGTATATTTGCAATGAATGTTTAGACAGAATGATTAGTTTTAACTCTGCGGTAACATCTAGAGTGAGAATACACCAATCACTGGAATTGTGCAGTTTACTTTCATGTTTCAACATTGTAGGTTTTTAAAACATTTATTAATTAATATGTTTGCATACGACTTAATAAAATAATTAATTAACTTATTATTCTTAATTATTAAGTAATGAATGTTATTATTGTTGTCCCTTAGGTTTATAGTGGAACATAGGGCTTCGGAAACACATCTCCACTTTGTCTTATTTTCTGCTCTCCTCTTCAGCTGGGCCCATGATTATCCATGATCTCTCATCTCCTGCCTGCATGATCTTCTCCATGTTACCCTTGGAGGACCCGATTGTCGTTTCCCATTTGGGTCCCACTCGAGCGATGTCATTCGACTGTCTTCTCAATGTATGCCCTATCCATCTCCGTTTTCTCTTACATATTTGTTGAGCAATCAGCTCTTGGTTAGTTTGTTGCCAGAGTTTCTTGTTACTGGCTATTCTTTCTGGCCATTTTTGTTCTTCAATATCAAGCCAGCGAAGGTAGATGTTGATAAAAGTGTGCAGTGGCCTATCGGAAATGCTTTTGGTGACGCGCAAAATTCCTGGCCCATGTAAAAGAACGGATTTGATATTGGCGTTGAAAATCCAAATCTTGTTCTTTGTGCTGACAGAGTGTAGGAGATTTCCAAACCAATTTCAGATTGATGAAGCCATATCTTGCATTTCCGATTCTGGCCAGCTTTGACATCTTCATCCGCTCCGCCTGTGGTTGAAACGATGCTTCCTAGATAAATGAAGGAAGTGATCTCTCTCAAATTTCCCTTGTTGGCAGTGACTGGTACTGTTTCTTGTTGTTGTTGATTGGTTATCTTCATCACCTCCTTCTTCTCTATGTTTATCTGTTTTCACCTTCTAGTTCTTCTGCCAGTTTGCTGGTCTTCGCAGGCAAGTCTTCCAGTTTCTGTGAAATCAAGCATAAATCATCGGCGAAATCCAGATCTTCTAGAGTCTGCTTATCGGTCCAGAGTTCTCCTGTCTTCTCACTTCCCCGCAAAGCCTTTCGTATAATCCAGTTCACCACAATAAGAATATCATCGGCGATAGTAGGCAGCTTCGTCCTACTCTTTTATTCATCTCAAAAGCTTCTCTGAGTTTTCCAAATGTACAATTAAGCAGAATTAATTATCCGTATTCGTTTATTACATTATTAGTATTGTTTGATTGTATGCAGTTAAACGAATGGATTATAGGCTAGTCACGTAGAAAAATAATAATAAGGTTTACTGAATCTATACATTCCACAATGGAGTATTCAATTTGGCATGACTGACCTATAGATATATACGAGAGGATTGTTAAGTACTATTTGAAGTAACAGGATGCCACATACTACTGATAGGTGTGAGCAGGTCATATACTGTTATCTGAACATTCTTGATTTCCAACAAAAACCACAGTGAATTCTAATCTCATACTGTTTAATTTCTGAATGAAGAATTCGATTCGATATTTTGAAATTCATAGTTTAACTTTATTGATATAACGTTAGTGCGGTTACAGCAACTGGGCAGAAAATATTAGAGGAAAAGATACAGTGAAGTTACAGAAAAATAATAAGACACACTTGGACAACACTTGGTCGGAGGTCGATCCCCTGCCGACGCACTCCTTTACCTCGCTAAGCTGGTCATAAGACTGGTAAGGAGGGAAGGTTTGGGATAAGGTTAGCAGCTCCACTCCGTGAAAATAAACACCATGGCGATGGAAGCCTCAAAACTCAAGCTTGAAGTCTTTTGCTCCACTGGGAACGTAACGAACAACATGAAATATTTATATTATTACAGATGTATTACTAACACAAGAAAATAGTACTATTCATTATTATACAAAAAAGTACAAGACAAGCTAAATTTGACAAATTCAAAGTCTCATAAGAATAAGTCATTATCGGACGAATAATATAATATGTTACAATATCGATGAATTAATACCTTTACGTTCTCCTTTGCTCAGCCAAACTGGGAGGTGCTCTTGAACGCGGTGGGATATGTTTCTTGACGAATATCCTATGTGCCTAGCTCCACAAGAGCAGGTGAACATTTAAATACACATGGAATTAGACAATCAAGGTAACATTTCCTAGACACTAAGGTGCACCAGGGGACGGCTAGAGTAGGTTATTCATAAAGTGGCAGCAGAGAACTTCTTCTCAATGGTCTCGTCAGACGATTTCTAAGTATTTCACTTGCAGTATAACCCCTAAATTCTAAGTTTAGGTGCAACACAATTTTCAGCTACCCTATCAATCTCTGTATTTCTTCCACGTACTTTGCTATTGGCCTCTGCGAAGCGTAGTGGATACCCGTACTCTGTTGAGGTTTCTTTTAGTTGTTTGAGTTCGTTAATAATACTATCTTCACTACAAATCCTCCGCACCCGTGTTGAGAGAGAACGGATTAGATTCCTTTTTCTATCTATGGCGAGATCAGCTCCCAGTTTGCCTGAGCAAAGGAGAACGTAGAGGTATTAGTTCGTCGATATTGCAACATATTGTAGATACTGACCACGCAGCATCTGACACATGGTTGAATAATATAATGTTTGAAACAGGGAGACTTCTGATAGTTAATACCTAGTATGCATCGAATTTAGTCATATGTAGTTGTTCTCTCGAAAATTAGACTTTCCTGGTCAATTTGGTAATAAGCTCGTGGTGGGTATTTCTTTCACAGTTGCCAGCTGTAATAGAAAGTCAGGTAAAACTGCTTAGCAAATTGCGGTTTTTAGTTACTTTATTGAATAAATAACATACCATACACAACATGGCTTCCATCGGAAAACTTTGGATGGAAAGTGTTGTTCGAAAAATGTGTTTTTTTCTTGATGAAAATAACATAAGTTGAGTTTTTAAGAAGCTGAATTTAACAGACTGTAGTATTCAAGGCCTAAATGTTAAGAAACTGAAGAAATCCTTTATATCTCTTTAGAGTTGAAAATGCAGACTTAAAAACACATAAAATCAAATACAGAAACACAGAACTTATTACAAAATTCAACCTGATCTGTTTCAAAATCTTTGTGTACATCAATGTATGTTCAGCGTATACTCTACATGCGATAAAAGAATATGAGTTTTGTTGATTTTACCAAGTGTTTGCCTTTTTGAGATTCATACCCTTTAAAAACAGGTTGGAACGATAACGTGACTAACATATTGTAAACTTCCTGAGTGATGGGGAGACAGAAGAATAGCTTGTAACCGAAACTGTATGATTAATTTCTAACTTGTTTTAAAAAATACTGAGAAAGCTTTCCATCAATTCGAAAAATTCCTTCAATAGAATTGAAGAGTAAAGGTTTATTGTTAGAATGTTATGACAGGCTTGTAGATTTTTTTCAAAATAAAATTGAGCTGTTTAATAAATAATCAGTCATTTGAATAAAAAAATTACTTTGCATATTTTTGCAGTTTAGGTCTTACACGAGAAGCTGAATGTTCTATTAAAATGTCATTGGAACTGAATCCATCCGTAGAATCTTATACTCTTTTTGCCCTTATTGCAATGCGTTTTAATCAACCCTTTCGTGCACTCAATATATACGATGAAGGATTGTCGAAGTTTCCTGAAGACATTGATCTTTTAACTGGTAAAGCTCGAATTTATCAGGTCAGTGTTTTTTTTATGACAAATTACTTTAATTTGAAATAGCTTCCATTAGATAATTGGGCTTAGTTTTCTAGCCTTATATGTGCCGATAGCTGAGAGAAGAGAGATACGAAACTATTCTCTGAAAGCCTTGGTCTTTCTAATTGCCGTAATCTGAATAAATGATTACATGTCTATCTTACGAAATATCTGCATTCTGAATGAAATTTCTTTCTGCGGAGGCGGTCAATAAACAGTTATACAAAAAGTCTTTTAAACGAATCAGTAGGAGATGTTGTGTTTGATGAGGATGTCTCCTTTTGTGGGACTTGTTAACTATTATATTGTTATTATTCCCTGGAGTTCCGAATGGAACAAAGGACTTCAACAACACATCCCCACTTTGTCCTATCTTCTGCCGTCCTCTTCAACTGGGTCTACGATTGCTCATAATCTGTCATCTCCTCCTTGTTAATTACTGAATAATTATTTGTGAATTTAGTTCGATTCCAATCGAACACTTAACATGCCTCCACTTCGATAAAAAAAGGAATCCCTAGTTTTTTCTAGCTTCGTAGGCTTTAAATCAGGATTTACTCTAACTACGGCCCCCTCGTAGTTTGATTTACAATAAAGAATGTGATGTCTAGTTTTAGCATTTATAAATGCTAGCTGATGTGATAAGTCTTTCAGATTATTTGAAAGTTTTTTTAAGTTAAATAACAGTGTGTCTTGCATAAAAAACATTTCCAAAGCGAAAAGTTGAGTAGGGTTTTGTTTAAATACAATTTATCCAGAAGTTAAACAATGGCTTACAATCGGTTGCCCTTTACAAAACAATATCTCAAATAGACGCTATGAATGTTGAAAGTTTGGCATCGATTGCGATGTACTATTTCTATGAAGACCAACCAGAAGTCTCACTAAAATATTACAAGTAAGTCTGAAATTAATAAATATGGTTACAGCCCGACTTATACACATTTCTTAAATTTACCTAACTTCTTTTCCTCTTCTCCGTTTTATTATAGAACTCTTAAAAGCAGATAAAGTATTTAGAATATACAGCAAAAGCTCGCCTTTGTTTTAATACTAGTGTTTTATGTATAAGCTAACTATCATATTCCGAAACCTTATTCCATGCAATCATCAGTGTTCTTGTGACCTCTGTACTAAGAAATGAACATTTGAGAGTGCCTTTTGACCCAGCATGTTATTTCATTAGTAAAAGTTTAGCTACTTACATTCTATCAGTAGCACATATCTAGACGGTGTTTTTTTGCGATTCAAGACCTCGTGGGGTTTCAATTCAACTTTGAAAAATTCACAATAAATAGTCACATTTTGACCATTCTTCACGTAATTAAAATATGAGAAAGTGATTATATGTGTAAACTTGGCACTGATTGAATTATGAGAAAGTGATCAGTAACTCTTATGAACTGGTGTTCACGTAGAAATGACTGTGGCTCATGTATGCATAGTTCACTGTTGTTAAATTCCACAAATACAATTCACCTTCAAATTGAGTTCCGGTCCATCAGTTTCTGTTTTGGATAGAATGCAAGAATGGATTTAGTCAAACAAAACTTGTAAAACTAAGACAGACAGTTTCACCAAATGGTTAACTATGAGGCAAATAGAATAGTTACCTTCTGTGCGACTAAGCGAATGTGCGAAGTGTAAATGTCACATTCAACAGATCTTTAAGGCTTACACAACTAGCTTTCACATGTCTTCCAGTTAAACTTAGTCAATAATTATAGGAATATACAACTAAATATTCCTAACAGTTTTTCTGAAGATAAGAAATTATTCAGTGAAGGTGTTTTAAGCAACAATTTCTGCTTCTAGTAATTTGGTGGATAGTGACGGGATCCAGGATGTACATTTCGTCCTATTTGGGACTCGTCGTCTGGATGTACCTGCATTCCCAGTGAGTGATGGTGCTTCTGCTGAGACTCAAAGCCAGTAGTTTATTGGATAATACTTTGGTATTTGAAACGCTAGTTGCTGGGTTTATTTCAGTGAGGAAAGGCATCACCATCCATCAAATTACTTCAAGTTAATCCTCAGGCCTTCTCTAAACACCCTTACTAAGAGCCGACGTGTCAACAGAGGGCGAACACTTCCGTTCAATCAATCAAAGGGAAAGCAGGAATTGAACTAAAAACACATAACCTTTTACCTACCTCGTTAAGTATTGGTAGAATTGCTTAGTTTACTGACAAACTACTTAATAAATAAACAGAAAGTGCTCTTTGACGTCATATTTCTGAATTTACTTGAAAATGTCACCCAACTTTTGTTGCAGTTCTCCTAAGATCCACTAACCCGTGGTAAATACAATCCACAGGAATTTGTATCTCTTGAGATTTTCTAAGCAACATAAGTTACAACTGAAGATCATAACAAACCACTTTAAAAATTAATGTAATTCAGCGTAATCATCACACAACTTGGTGGAACAGGGTGAAAGTATTAAAATGTGAATCGGAAAGCTTTTTTCATTGATAAAAGATGAAGAAAGTATGTGTGTCTGTTACAATAACTTTATTAAGTGTGTGGTTATTCCGAACGGATAGGCATCTTATCATGTTTACAATCTTACACTATTTTATCGTCAAACTTGGTGACATATCTCATGTATATATGTGCATATACTTTTCTTTAATAATAGACGTATATTACATTATGGATATGAATCATCAGAATTATATAATAACCTGGGATTATGTACCTTTTTTACTCATCAATATGATCTGTGCTTTTCAATGTTCAATCAAGCTGTTGCATTAAGTGATGAGACTAATATATCAGATGTATATTACAATTTAAGTCATGTTGCAATTGTAAGTTTCAATGTTGGTGTTATTCAATTTTCAACATAAAATGTGGTTGTAACAAAACTGCTATCGACAGATTTTAGTACTGGAACGTATTTTAAATGTAGTATTTATTGAAAATCCGATAAATTTAATGTGATTTAATTCATTTTCTAGAAATCTTTGACCGTTAATTAATTTCATTCATTTAATTTTCATTATGACCCATAGGTGCTTCCCTAAAATTAAGTTCTGAGTTTAAATGGTTTCTAACCTTCTTTCTCCACATCATATTCAGGGCCTGTGAAACATGCTTTCTATATTGGCTATACCATGAATTACTTCCCACCGGAAGATATTGAATTCGTATTATAACTGTGTTGATTAATACAGTCAATTCTTGAGAAGTTTTAACAATCTAATACTCTCGTAAACATTAGAAATAAGCGTCAAAATGTAGGCCATAGAAGGAGTAATACGTGAAAGCAAGGTGAATATGATTTTGATTTCGTAACAGGTAAACAAAATGTTTTTTTCCTTAAATCAAATAGTCAACAAAATGGTACCGAATCAAGTGGCCATTAGAAATAAATAACAAAAATATTTATGAAGGACACTGTGTTCATTACCAGATTTCGCGAAGTCTACCGGCAATAATTTGACCATTACACAATTTTCCCTGATAAAAAAATTGTGAAATTTATTTAAGTATTTTGTTGACATTTGTACACTGGAGAGTTAAATAAGTTTATTACTAGTAGTATATCCAGGCGTAGATTTGTTTATTTATCACACTTTAATTCTATCTCTTATCTGAAGGTAGCTGATTTGTGTTTTGTCTTCTGACTTTATCAAATTACCAAATAAGTATATCAACAAAGCAATTTGAGATTGAGTTGATTTATTATTATTTATTTTTTTGAAACACTAATCGACTTACATTTATTTCTCTTTTCCTAGTGCTTTTTTTAAGCATAAATAAGCTATTGTGTCAAAATGGAATTTTTTACGAAATGATTCAGTTACTCATTAGCAGAATTTATCATAATAATTCTTTGTAGAGTGAGAAGTAATTTGAGGCTCAGATGGATGATTTGATTATGATTTGCGTCTTATGAACTGGATCTGTCTTAATGAGGAAGTTATCATTGTCTTTCAGGAAAACAGCTAGGCCAAGTTAAAGTATAACGGCCAAGGAGTGCGAAAGCTCCAATGACACTGAACGCATACTAGTTGTTGGATAACCCGACTTGCCATTATTATAGCGCCAATGTGAACGCCATTCACGAATCAAGGAGTAAATCTCACCCCGATCACGTTTTTAAGTACTGTTTGTACAATGTGTTAATGGGGCGTTAGGGTTAGGATCAGGGTTACAATTAGGATTAGGGTTACGATAAGCGTAAGGTTTGGGGTTGGTATTGTTTGTTTTAATTAGTTTTATCCATATTTTCCTGGAAACTATAGTAAACCAATTGAGAGCTTTTGAGGAAGACTGTAAAACAGGACAAGAAACATAAATGGGTCATAGAAAAAGCTCATCATCAATCACCTCGGTGAATACAGGTACAGAAACTGGTCTAACTTAAAAGCTGATACTCCTCATCATAATTGGTAGCTATTTTTATGTCATTTCAGAGAAAAATATCCCATTTAATGTATTTTATCATTATGCTCTATATCTCTTGTGTGAATAAACGTCATTTTTAAGCAGAAACCACTGTATTTCCCGAATGTTCCGCTCAAGGGCACTCGTGAGTTTGTATTCAGTGGATCGTAATGCTTTAACTTTGTCAACAGCTTCTACATGAACTCCAAATGCTAAAAAGTATTTTCAATTTCAAGTCTAATGACGTCTGAGTTCATTTAAAACGTTTATAGTCTGAAAAAATTGCTGTGAAGTTTAAACAATATGCAATATTTTATTATGTTTTATTGAGTGGAACTTGTATGTCAAAACTAAGGTTTTCAATCTGTTGACTGTGAGAAAACAATTGACACATGAAAATTTACATGTTATGTTATATTTAATGGTGAAAAGAAAACTTCTAATCGACGTCGGAATCCAAGATTAGGTCATTATAATCTCTTATTATCTTCTCTTACTGTAACATTCATTAGAAATTGAGATTACACAATACATGACTCTGGAAGATACTTCAAATGGTTTATTTAAAAAAAAAGGATAAGTCAGGTTGTGTAAAGCCTAAACTATGCATAAAAACAGTGCCTTTTCAATCCTCATCCCGTCAGTTATTGTGTTTCTGACTTACTCCATTCCAGAACTTTGATTTTGCAAGTCAAATTGTTCTCTTTTAAAATAAATTAATGTAAATTATTTAGCATCAGTGTGACTCACATAACTTACAACAGTGAAGTGACAAGTAGATTTCTTACCGAAGTGTTTCTTATGTTAATCAAGGACGCAGTTCTCATCAGAAATGGTTATTTGAATATAATGTGAGTGAATTTCAAAAATGTCTTGGTCATTTACACATCAGCTAAGAAACAAGGGGTGACACTTTAACATATGGACGAAGGAAAAATTCATAAAATTACCATTTATTCGTCTGTAGTTAAACAGTCCATACTCGTATCACTAGTGCAGGGGAGGTGGGAGGAACGAAATATATTTACTCTTTGGGTTAAAAAACGACCAAAGAAGGTTAATTTATAATTATTCAAGAAATAACACGGCATCATTTTCTTGTCCACAACAACCAGAGTATCAAACCTCATAGTTGTGAAAAGACTAAAAGCTGATCGGGATGGAAACATTCGACCGTGGCCGGCTGGATGTGGAAAAAACGATTCATGCACAGAACAAATTACGCAACATCATTGAACAGAAACTACAGTGGCGTTAACTCTGTATCCAGCTTCATCGCATTTGAAAACGCTTTCAATAGCGTCGACAGGGAAGAAATTCTGAAACTGCTACAACAATACAGAGTGCAACGCAGCAAACATTTATCAGCCTTGTCCAGCAGCTATATAGTGATGTTACGCACCAAGTATTCACAACGGAATGCTCAGAGAAGCCTTTGAAGTGAGGTTGGGAGCAAATAAGGCTGCGTAGTATCAGCAATGATATTCCTGATTGTGGTGCACTGCACGTAGCGTCAGACCTTTGGGACTGAGTAGACGGGTATACGTTGAAACAAAGCAAAACTCTAGAAGATCTAAACTTCACGGTTGATTTATGTATAATGTCACACAAACTTGGATATCTACAGACAAAAACCAACAAGTTGGTGAAAGAAGTGACGAAGACAAGACTTCACGTGAACATAGAGAGGATAGAAGCGATGAAGATACTTGATCAACAACAATGTGTACCAATCACCGTCAGTGGGAGGAAGGTAAAGGAAGTTGTATAGGAAGCGACAAGTTGGGCATCAGAAAATGACATGGAGGATATCATGTGAGGTGGAAATGAAAGCTTGTGAGCAGTCTTGGAGCCGACTAAAAATATGGCAGAGAATAGAGTTAACGGAGCCCTATGTTCCACGAAGAACGTTACGAATAATAACAGTTAAATAGTTGAAGGGATTGTATCAAAAGTACTGTTCACCACTGGTATGGCTGAATACACAGTACTAATTACTGGTTAATGATACTTAACTGTTGGGAAATTTTGATATATTGGTGCTTTTAAATATCAGATATTTTCTGTAGGAAATCAAAATGTTTTCTGTTTTTATCTTTTATTATGCTTTCTAGAATATTGGTGATTTACAGATGGCGAAACAGTGTTTACATATTGCTATTGTGAACGATAATCATCATTCAGAAGCCTATAATAATTTAGGAGTACTAGAGCATAAACTTGGAAATATAAATATGGTAATATATAACTGTTAATGTCAAATCTATGTACAGTCAAGCATCAAAACATAACAGTAATAAATGTTTTTAAATGTTCATCAACTGAGCTATGCAGTAAGAACTTATTGGACCATCAGTTTCCTCTATTATATTACAGGTTAACTTAAAGCCTAGAAGAGATATGTATATGAAGTTGACTTGTCAAACAGACGATGACAGCTAAGCGTATTAAGCATCATTGGTCGAAAAGTTATGAAGATTTCTGTAAGATACCTATAGGTCTTTGATATCTATAAGACAAGTTCATTTTCAAGACTATTTTTATTCTATGTATCATTTATTGTTTGTTGATCTGTTTCTTCTAGCGTTTCCTTCCCCACCTACAGTAGCATTTATTTCTCTTTCGTGTTCACTGACATAGAGTCCTAGAACATTTGTTTATTAAAACACTGAGTATGTTGGTTTAACGACCTACCAGAAAATTATTCATTTAAAAAAATTGTAACTTCATTAGTAAGTAGATAATATGGTAACGAATAAAGTTGCCTCATAACATCGCGAGAGAATTTCAGTTATTAATACTGTTGGTTAAGGAGGCTCATGTACTATTGTATTCATCGTTAAGTTAAAGGGTCCTTGATAATACATTCAGCGGTATTATATCATTAATCGATAGAAGTTGGAATTTATGCCTCATTGAACCCGAATCCATTGATTGAGTTATAGCGTGTTCACCTTGTAACCTGATAGTTTTGGGATCAGTCTTTGATGTGTTCGCCAGTATGTACTACTGACGAATGCTAAACTAGGATGAAGTGGCCATCGAGTTTTCCCTGTTTCTTTTAAACATTTTTCGACTGGTTTTGTTTTCTGAATTAAATGCATCTTGAAATTATAAATTATAACTTCCGATAATCATTGTTACGATTTTTTGGTACAATACATTTGCTCATAATTATTATTGTTCCCGGCTGGGGTCGCGCTAAAATCACGAATTGATAAAAGTTAGAATTCATGAGCCATTGAATCGGGTCCCAGTGGCTGAATGGTATACGAGCTTGCCTTGTAACCGGAAGGTCCTGGGTTCGAATCCCAGTGGGTGCGTACTGCCGGTGATTCCCAAAACTAGGATGAAACAGCAGCTGTCCAGTACACCCTGGTTTTCAATGGTTCTCTAACTGATATCAGTCCGTGATCAACTCGTAAAACATAACTAATCCTTACAAACCAAAATATAGAATATTATTGTTCCCTTGGGTTCTGAGTGAAATACACGGCTTTAACAACACATCTACACTTTCTTCTATTTTCTGCTATCTCCTTCAGCTGGGTCCACGATTGTCCATAATCACTCATCTCCTCCTCATACGATCTACTCCATGTCACCCTTGGATGACCCATTAAGATTCCGGTCGAGCGATTGCGCGTGGTTTCATTCGACGGTTTTCTTAGTGTGTAACCCATCCACCTCCATTTTCTCCTACATTTTTTGTTGAGCAATCGACTTTTGGTTGGTTTGTTGCCAGAGTTCCTTGTTACTAATTCTTTCTGGCCGGCATTTGATCTTCAATATGGAGCGAAGGCAAATCATGATAAAGCGGTTAAATGATGACTCAGATTAAGGGACTACACTGCTGTTACCCATATTTATTGTTCAATGGCGAATGTCTGTTTTAAACTGATTAACCATCAAACTAAGCCACAAAAATGGAAAATAAAAAGACAGTTGTATACAAAGCCAGTTAAGGTGTGAAGAATTAATTGACTATAGGTTTAATAGCGTTTTTAATTTTCATTATTCATAAGTAATTATGTGGTGATTTTAAAAAAAACATCAAACGAATGCTAATCTTTTATTCGTTCATTACATATATTATACACTCTGTGTTTTTAAATTTTGTAGGCTAAAGAGCTATACCGAACTTCATGTCAGCTGACGCCTGATTTGTTTGAACCGCATCATAATCTAACTTTCCTAACAGAAGCCGTAAGTTTACTATATACAGGGAGTTAAAGTCGTACATTTTTCAAAATAAATCAAATTCGAAATTCATTTGAGTTTAGATTCTTTTCCAGCATATTTAATTATGTATTAACTCGAAAGTTTGATTGACCAACCGTATTATCTCTAAAATCTACTTGAATTCAAACGCTGCATATGCTGAAAATTTCAGAATAGGCGTCTATCACTCTTCTATAGGCTATGTCTTTAGACAAAAGTGTACTTCAGACAGTAAGTGTTTCCGATTTCCGATATTCAGTCGTTAAGTTTTCAGTTTTTCAGATCGAACCTTAGAGTAGAAAAGTTATGACATTTCTTTAAGTTGTAATCACTGCAAAATAAAAAGCCTTAGCTTAAATGTTAAAATAGGTAGTTTTTGTAACCGTGTAATTTCATTCGTTATTTTATGTAGTATTTTTTACTTATGCTTGTAAATTTAAATAAACTTATTTATATGTGCATTGTTAACTACTCTGAAGAAACTAGCCTAAAATGAGAGGAGTTGGTGCAGCTATATTTACGATCAAATATAATATTTATTGTAAAACTATATATGAAATCGAAATTTTCATTAATTACGAAATATCATCTTAAGACATTGATTTTAAACACTTAACTGGTACTGTATGTTCCGGATCAGGTTCGGTTTCATTCAGTTTACATGAGGAAAATCTTGTTACAGAATAATCAGAAAATTCCAAGTGACTGTAACGTTTTAGATGATCTCTTACGCAAAAGCTGACTCACTCTAAAAGACTTTAGTAGGGTTAATTATTCAGAAACTTTACTTGATGTTGGTTTTAGACAATTATTTTAGAAATGTCATGAGTTGTAGCAATTCTTACTTCTTAGAAAACCTAATTATGATTCGTAATGGAAAGCTGTTGGTCATGATCGAACGCATATCATTTTTGCGTATGGTTTTTATCCCATTTTTCAAATTAGAGAATGTTTGTTTTCAAATGCAAGTTTTCCAATGAAGGCACTTTACTGGTGTTACAACTTCAGATAGTAATACACCTTTGTAGTGATATTTCCGCCGCAATATATTCTGCGTAAATCTTAAAATAAATGGCTTTAAATGTTATTATTTCCCCACTACCTTTTATTGCACAGTTTTTGATGGAACAACATTCATTTTACTTAGTATGACTGGATCGAATTTTAAAAGTATACAAGTCTCCCTGACCGCCACATCAAAAGGTAGCATCTAAATGATTCAGTAGAGAATTTCTAAGAATTTCGTAAATTTCAGCAGAGAAAGAACAAACAAAGCTGAAGTGTAAGTATAAATATATCTTGTTATGGAGGAACTTCTAGAAAATTAATTGATAAGTTTCTTGTTTGGATGGCAACAAAAGCATTGGTAACACTTACATATTTAGATAAAAGAAGACCAAAATTTGGTGTGCAAGAGGTTAAATGGAAAGATGATGATGTAATATTATCTCTTATTGAAGTCAAACATAAAAAAGAGGGGTGTTGAAAAGATAAGTTAATGAAATTAGAAAACAATGAGTTATTGCGGGATGAGTCACCAGGGTGATTGAAGTCCAACGGCAGATTCTTTTTAGACTCCAACTGATGAGAACCAACAAAGTAAAATGGATCCGTGTTATTCTGCACCAATGTTTGTTCTTTCTCTGCTCAAAAGTATTCAGATGATTAGAGATAAACTGAATGTTGTGTGAGCAACTGACCATATACGAATTCTTTTAAAAGTCTTCTAAAATTCTGGAACATAAGATACAGTCACAAGTTCCCGTAGAAAATTGATAAATTTTAGTAAAACAATTTATAGGTGGTCAGACTTGTTGAAATTTCATTGGAGTTAGAATTTATGTGAACGAAGAATATATATGCATTGATAACCAACCTTGTTCACATTGCGACTGTCTGCTTTTCTCACAAACACTCGAAGACAACCAAGGTAATTAGAAGAAATCTCTAACCGCCTTCATGAAGATATTTTTATAAAAAAAGCTAAATGTGAATGAAACTCACTCATCTTCATTTCACTTCAACACTACTTTGAAGAGATGAAAAACACTCCCGATTGTCTCTCACTTAAATTCACCTGTTTTAATAACCGTTTCGTTTGTTTATTTTTGGTTATCAGTCATTACAATATTAAAGTTGAGTCTTACAGTATAATAATGTTAACGTTGTTAGTCTATGATAGAATTACTCTATGAAAATGAAGTTCTTAGAATTCTCAGTATGCAGATACTTAGAATTCAGGAGTGGATATTATGAAGTGAAATACTATGAATCACAGACCTCATTAAAATGCAGACACATATTCAAGCTAATGTAATTCAGAAATGAGGAGAAATGAGAAATTGTTATGTGACAAAACACAATTCCAAACCATTAATGAAGTTGATTTTATCAGTAGAACCTCTCCCTCTGCAAAGCATTACAACAAGTACACATCAATTCTACTATATATTTATATATCATAATATACTAAATATATATTATGATAGCCAGAATAAAGCTGAAATGCGTGGTTGATTGTAATACTTACTTTTCTGCCCATTCACTTTTTATGTGTAAAATTCTGACCATTAGTTGTTTTTTCTCTCACAAATTTGTAAGTTTTATAGAAAAAAAAGATTTTACACTGTCATTTTATGCATTGCAGAAAATACTAAATATCACAGTTAACGTTTTTTTTCGTAGAAAAATGAAAGCTACTCTATATGCTCAGTGAGGCTTTTAATTTCACTGTCACTGAAATTTTTTTAAAACTTATGAAACGTTCATTGTTTCAGTTGATGATGTGAACAGTGGCATTCTATATATATATATATATATATATATTGCTGACAGAAAGAATTGCAGATAATACTAGTCTGAAAACTAGATTTTATTTATCTTTTTTCTAAATATGTTAACTTTCTCAAATAAATTTGATTTACGTAATTAAATACATTTGTAAATATGTTTCTGTTAGTTTTATTTTCTATAAAGAAATAGTAGTAGAATGAATTTAAACGAAAGTTGTACATTTCTCAGATAAACATAATTTGGGAACTGAAAAGTATATATATGTATATTTTCTGTTGGTCACATACACTGAAATGATGAGTTAGTAGAGTAGGCGGTTGAGTGTCGGAAAAACTCTATTCAGCTTACTAAAATTGTTTCTAAAATATGCAATTTAATTTATTAATGCTTTATAGCTGAATGAGAGGCCACTTTTGATCTATTTTTATTCCTTTACGTTCCCAGTGGAACATAGGGCTTCAAGCTAGAGGCTTGAAGCTTCGGTAGCATTGGTGTTTATTTTTATGCGGGTGGGGTTGCTAGCCTCATGCTCAACCTTCCCTGTTTACCAGTCTTATTACTAGCTTAGCGAGGTAAATGAGTGCATCGGCGGGGGATCGGATCTCAGACCACATGCGTGGTCGCCGAGCATTCTACCGCTGTTACCACCGACGCACACTTTTGATCTTACTTTAATCCTGTGTTTAGTAGAATAATCGTTTGATTCTTAAAATATTAACCATTGTGTTTGGTGTTACAAAGCTGTAGGCTAGAGAAAAAGAGTCACTTATAGTGCTCTCTTTGACTATTCCACTCTTATAAAATCTATTGTCAAATTTACTGGCAGTTCATTAGCTGTCTACCTGGTTTATAAATCCATGGTCTGGATGTATAATTGCCATGCAATTCCAATGAAACATCTATATTTCTATTTTTAAGTAGTTTTTGAGAATATAGACAATGAAAGTCAAATATGATTACATCATCCGGTAGAGTATTTGTTGATAAAACTTTAGATAAGAATGTTCTGACTACATGAAACTATCATCTTGAACTCATTCTTGTATCTTGATATCAATGGTTACTAATATGATGCTGTATTTAAGACCAGTCAGGTATTCACTTTTAAAAGAGAGGTCGTTTTCGCCATTACCTTTTTTCTAGCATATATGTTATTGAGATTTTGATGATTAATTCTATAATTTATCATAACTACTTAGTGGAAGTTAAACATTACAGCGGAGAATTTTTATCGGAATAGGTGAGTGATTCGAAGCTTTTATTCATTATTAGTACAACTGACTTTGTAGTACAGGTAGTTAGAGTCACTAGCGACATATTTCGATCATCTTTGGATGATAATTTGCCAAACGTAATTTCATTTAGACAGTCACATACTTTTTATATGGTGATTCACCAGCTGCACTGATTGTACACTGCACAATTTTTTCGCTGAATACCAAATACTCTAAAAAGTCATTTCTTTTTAGATCCTTTATGAACAGTATGTGAACAAGGCTACTGAGTAAAGAATCTGGCAAATTCACAGTTTGAATAGATCAATTTTCTAGGATTGGTACTTTGGAGCTCTAGGCTTAGTACATTCTTGATAGATTATGCCAACGTTATGTGTTTTGAGCGAAAATTCAATTACGTATAAAATGTGCCATACATTGGGTCCTTTGATGAATTTTGATGACGGAAGAAAGACCAAATTTGCAATATAAAATTATATCATTCTATTTCACAGGTTCTCATCAGCTGCAGGATGCCTGAAATTACAATGGTTGTAAAAAATGATAGTAACATACTTCAGTATTTGAATGGTAGTGGAGAAAATATTAGAAATTAACACATCTTAAATGTAGGCAATACAATTTATAGTCTAAGTTTCCATCAATTCATATGCCTTCAAAATAGAAAAGGAGAGGGAAGGAAATGAGAGGAAACAGAAAAATTTAATAAACAGTATTAGCTTGTAGGTCTACATAGCAGCTCAAAGAGGTTATAGTTCATAAAATTGAAAACTTGCTCAGTGAGTTGAAACCACTTATATGGGCTACTGATCAATGTACTCAAAATGCAGTTACCAAGGGAGTGAGAGATTGAGTACACTCTCTTTCTGTCTGCATAAGTTTGGTTAGTAACGCCTGATTGCAATTGCTTCAGCAAATCCAAATAACTTAGCTGTCCTTTGAATGGTTTATAATTTGAAAGATTTAGAAATCTCAGCGAAATGGCCGGTATTCAACAGTTGGATATTTCGTTTTGTCGTCCTCTTCTTTGCTGTACTTTTGGATAAAACCTTTTGGATACCCACTTTCTCTTGGGCATTTTTCAACAAGGCTTAATTCTTCTTCCAACTTGCTAAGCGAACATAACTTCCTGACTCTGCCCTGCAGTGTCCCTACTAATCCATGCATATAGCCAGTAGGACAAAAGCTGTTGTAGTGAAGATATTGTCCGGTTTAGGCTTATTTTCTGTAGATGGAATTTTTGACCGTACTATCGTTTCTTCTTCTTACATTGAGGTCGAGGAAATTGAACTTATCGTTGTGTTCATATTCCGTAGTAAATTTGTTTTTTGGGTGGATCTCATTAAGACGGTCAAGTAATACAGATGACTGACTTGTTTCATTACAAATAACAAACATATCATCGACATATCGATGGTAGTAGGTTACTTCATTGTTCAAGGTAACCCATGAAGACATCAATCAGAATAGGTCCTAGAGGTGAACTCATGGCGACCCCATCAGTTTGTCAAATTTGAATTGAATGTCTTTTGTGTAGAGAAGTAGTAGTACTACTATTAGTAATAGTAATATCATTTTATACCGCAAATCTGGTCTTCCTTTCTTTATTGAAACTTATCAAGGGAACCAGATGTATGAAATTGGTTTCTTTGCAATAACTTACATGCACGGAATTAACTGTTTTGTTACTGTACCCAATTAAAAAATGAAACATCTGTGACTTATTAAATCAACATGTATTTCTTCATTTCAATGAAACACCTTGAAGGTATTCAATGATAGTCATCCAGCTATCTAGTTTCCCTTAGAAAAAGAGACAGAAAGTGACGAGTGCTTTGTTTTCATTAATGTCTAGATGGCGATTATTCATGAATTAGAAAGCAAAATGTTTCCCCACTGATGAGCTACACACCATATTGTTTCATTTTGTTCCGTTTTATTTCACTTTACATTATCACATTTTTCTGCCTTATTGCATTTGTCTTGGCTACCACACATATTCACATTTCCGAATGTACTTAATGTTCCTACCATCCATTTACTCTTGTCTGTTCATAATAAGACTGTACCATAGGCTGGATTTTCATAATGTCGCCTAATGTCAGTATCAGTTGAATAGGGTTTTGTATCCCAAATAAACTTGAGTTTAACTTACTTATTTGAGAGAATTATTTTTGAGTTTCCAGTTTGGGTTATCTTTGTTATAGCCAATGAATACTTAATTTGATGAACATTCACCTCACATCTGCATGGTCAGAGGTTTTGAAAATCTGAAGACTGTTCACTCCACTTATAGAAAATAACTAAGGCATGTTTTGAATTTCATCCACGAAATGAAGATTAAAATCGTGTGACACTATGGAGCAGCATACGTACGAGTGTAGTTGTAGCTTAGTGAATGTTATTCTCAAATTATGAACATCTAAGTTTAGGTCCTAGTAATTGCATCAGGGGTAATGGTCTTCCTAGTCAATCCACCACATTTTTAAGAAAATGTTCACTATTGGTTTACACCATAATTTATTTTTGATTTTGAAGTGTTGGTTTGTAGGAATTTGATTGGTTTCAAATTAAATCACGAGCTGTCACTAGCTAGAGAAACGCTGAAAATCAGGGAGTACTGTACAGCTACGTTTAGTCCCAGTTTAAGACTCTTGATTGCTGGCCTGTAATACAGTTTACAGTTAATTATAAATTCACAAAACACTTGCAGATGAAAGCTATTTGTTTACCTTAAACAGTTATATCTGCTCTTTAGAAATCATCTGAATAACTGGAGATGTATCCCACTGATTTAAAGTCAGCCAGTAGAAATATCCTTACTTAATCCATATATGACCTCTACTCTTTCGATAGTGTAAAAAGCACTTTTAGGAACAAACACTTATTATACAACATTTGGACAGTTCTTATCCACAATTTCATCTTATTAGAAGCTATGTGATGACAATCTGCAATACTGCAGTTGCGAAATATTATTAGTGATATTAATTTATTCGTCATTTCATTATTCTTGTTGAAGCGTTATTCTCAGTTTGAAAATATTCTGTTAATATGAGGAAAGGTACTAATAATATACGCAGATTACAAATAGCGATATTAATAGTTTATGTTTAGAGTATTTTGATATCTCTAGTGTTTCCTTAGTGGTATTAAAAATTAACTTATCTCACAGAGAAATAGTTTGTATAATTCCCCTTAAGTAGAAATGTTTATTTAAAAAACCTACTTCTACAATTGCATCGGTATGTAAAATAAGAATGAATTTTTTTTATTATAGCCTGATTCCACACCGTAGTTTTGATACAAGTATGGAATTTTCAGCATGGATATCGGTAGCCCAAATTTCTCAGGCCGACCATTGATATCAGGTGTGCGTCGGCAGGGGATCGAACCTCGGACCATGTGCATGGTCGCCGTGAGTCTTAACCACTGTGCCACCGACGCACCACTGTACTACTACTGATATTATCTTCAATAGTTAGTTTGTAAGCATTAGATTTTTTTTTTACGAGTTGATCACTGATATCAACCCGTGATCCGTAAAAACTAATATTATCATTAAATATACCTTATGTTAAGCGACATCATACATATTTAGGCTTCATTTATTTTTGGATGTGTGGCAAGAAGATGACAGTATTACAATGGACAGAATCACAGCAAGTTAACTGATGCATTACAGTAGACTTAGTGCAGGCTTTAATGCTTTTTAGTTCTGTCAATGTATAATTTGGTTTGTTTGATTTTCTATCCATGAATGTATAACACTGTAGAGATTTTAAGTTTTCTCCTTAAAAAATGTGTAATGCTTAAATATTTAACTATTTGTTACCATTTTTTCTCTATTTGTTTTCATGAAACGCATCCTTACTTCTCTACCAGCTCGGTGAAATGCATACAACTTTTGAGTTGGCAAAAACTTCGCTGCGCTTATTTCCGAACCACAGTGACTTGCAAAACCTTCTCTTCCGGCTGAAGGAACATTTCAGTTTGGCGTGAGATACTACCTTATCTTGAATGTCTTTTGTTTTTATTATTTTTCTCATGTTTGTTAGTATCTCTTGTTGTAAATATGCATGACTTGGTGTGAAATGTGAACTAATCTATTTTATATTTAAAGAAAACAGACATTTCTGGTTAATCTGTGTTAAAATTTTGTTATGCACTATATTACCATAGACATGTTCATTTCGTGATATATCAATTATCAATGAAGGTTATTACATAATTATAGTTGTTATCTTTATCTTTGCTGCCTACGCTACATCAGTTATTAATATTAAGTGTAGAATTTGGGCACTGTGGTAGAATGCAATTCCATATTAAATCCAGCTCCTAGGTTATGGTGGGGATATGTGGATGACACATTCACCGTGTTGAAATCTGAACATATCCCTCAGTTTTTCACGCATATAAACTTAATAGTAGATGGAATCCAATTCACTTCTGAGTTAGAAAACGAACAGAGTGAGTTAGCTATCCTAGACTGTAGAATAAAACGAAAACAAGATGGTGGGTTAGATGGTAGCATTTATAGGAGACTGAAACACTTTAATAAACACTTGAACTTTAATTCATCCCATCCAGAATCAGTAAAGATAGGTTAGGTTAAACGTCTTTATAATCGAACTAAGAGCCTAACTAGTAGGCCAGAAGATTTAAATAACAAAATCAAACAAATAAAGGAAGCATTACTAGTGAATAACTACCCACCAGAATTTATTCAGAAATATATGAAGAACCATAGAAAAACTAAGATTGGCAATACAAATGATGAATATAGAATTCAAAGCCTCTGTAGCACTGCCGTATAAAGAAGGGACGTCAGAGGCCTTACGTAGGATTTTCAATAAGTCTGAAATTAGGGAGGCATTTAAACCAAACAACTCTCTCAGAGATAAGCTTTGCCTGCTTAAGGACCCAACAGATCCAATTAAGAAAAGTAACACAATTTACCAAATACCATGTAATGACTGTGAGGTAAATTACATAGGTCAAACTAGTAGATCAGGGTCAACTAGATTATTGGAACATAAAAATTTAACTAGACCCAGAATGATTGACCCTGCTAAGTTAAATAATCTAGAAAAAGGTTCAGCCATTGCATGTAATCGCAAAACAGGGTGGAAAAGGGTGTGAGTATTAAAAAGCAATCTAGTTAGGTGGAGACAGAGAGAAGCTTTGTTTATCGATTCAACACCACACACGTGCAGTCAGAATGACAAAACGCCTATACCAGAGATATGGAAAATGGCAGCAAAAAACAAAGGGAAGTTGGAGAGACAGAAAGAGAGAAAATATATAAATAAGACCAGTCATGAAACTATGTGATTAAGACTGATATCATTACGAGTGGCGACAATCTATGCTCGAAAAGTTATCCAGTTGTTAGTACTGCATCACTCTGTGATATTTATTGTTTTTTTATTACTTTTTATGTAGGAATAATTGAATAAAATATCAGTTGGCATAGAGTCAGAATGAGAAAGTTTTATATTAACAGTGATATAATGTTAACAGGTGATGACTTGTGACAGTAGTCAGTTTTGAAATCCTAAGTTAGGTGTAAGTTTGCAATGGTGGAGAAAGAAAAACACCGAATAGGATTCAAAGTAGAATAAAGTAAATCGCAAGGTTGTTGATAATTTAATCTTAGTCTCAGTCAGTAGTAATATTTCAATAGCTCAACAGCAATAAAGACGATACACAATCTTGTAATTTTGATGAATTTAAGCTGTCATTCAGAATTCAGTAATCTCTTCCAAGGGAATGAAAAATTCTGTCATCTGGTAAAAACCAACTACTAACTATGTTGCATTTAATCGTCAGAAATTTCGGTAGTTCAGCTTAATGCCCTCAACTTTTTCAGCCCAATCTTACTAATGTTATTATTATTCCTTAGGGTTCCGAGTAGAACATAGGGCTTCAATAACACATCTCCACTTTGTTTTATTCTCTGCTCTCCTCTTCATCTGGATCCACGATTGACCATAATCTCTCATTTCCTCCTCATACAATCTCCTCCATGTCACCCTCGCACTGACGACACTCTCATCGTTTCCCATTGGGATTCCACTCGAGTGACCGCCTGCAGTGCGCGAGATGTCGCTCGACGGTTTCTTCAATGTGTGCCCAATCCATCTCCATTTTACTCTAAATATATTTGTTGAACGATAGGTCCTTGGTTGGTTTTTTGCTAGAGTTTCTTGTTGCTAATTCTTCCTGGCAGGCCATTTGATCTTCAGTATAGAGCCAGCGAAGGCAGCTGGAGGAAATCGTTTTCGTGACACGCAGTGCAAGTTTCTCACCCGTACAGATTAATAACGTAGTTATTTCAAACTGAAGGATTGCTGTTCAGAATGTGAAATGAATGCATAAATGAATGATTTCCAGGAATTTTGTCGATAAGCATCAGATTAGCTCGTTGAAAGCTTCATGCTCTTGATTATCACCTTCAATATAGCAAAATCTCTTGTGATCAGAATTCACCACAATTCAGACACTGAACTGAAATTTTTCGCATAAAATGTATTGTACTACTTTCATCTCAATTTAATTTAATTCCAAATCACACAATCACAAAATCTTATCCTCATTATTTTATTCTATCAAGATAGGAGTTGAGAATAGTGCATCAAGAGGATATTACAGCTTTTATAAGCTGATTTTAAGTGTAGGTTTACCTAATCCTACAGGTTTATTTAGCTTTCGTGACCACTGATGCTTTGAAAGAAAGGCGTTGAGCATGTTGCATTAACTTCTGCTTCGTATAATGCACTTTGTTCTTTCAAGCGAATAAACCAGTCACTGATTATTTGGATGAATTAATATTATATTAATTATTACTTTAAGTCGACTTTATTAACTATTTCCACTTGGTCATATTTATTTATCCGTGAATAAATATAACGGATAAGTGTTGCGAGCAGATAGCATAGACTGCAACTATGCATAGCCATTTCTGTTCAAGGCATCTAATGTCATTTTGTATCACAAGATTATATATATATATATATATATACGGTACTTTTAAAAAATAGTGGCTTGTGAACCAATGATAAATTATGCAGTTACTTAAGCTGAAAACATTGATAAAAAAAGTTAACAAAGGTGGTTATAACAATAATAAAAAGAACATAAAAATTTATATATTTCACTAATCAAATTATGTCAGAATTTTGTGAAATAAAAAGATCTGTAATATTAAGAATAAAACAAACTGACAATGAAGCTTTAAACAAATAAAATAAACACTCAAAACAAAAGGAGTGGAAATTAAGGGTGAAAATGAAGGCCTTTCAATGACGAATGCGTTTATTGAGTCTATTGTGAACAAAGTACAGATAAGGATAAAACAACTCCTCTATAACTATTCACGTAAATTCACGCATACTTCACGTCCATATTTGTGTGTAAAGACAAACTCGAGAAATGTAGTGAAATGCCTAATATGATTGTTTTTAAGGTATTTTCCCTGTTTTTTGTATAGTCAGTATCGGCGAAATAAGAGAAGATTGAATTTCACATTGGTTTTATCGCTTCTAACCACGGAGGTAGGTAAGGCAGTAAGCCACAGATCTGTTAAGTTGCTTGGTTATTCCTTCTTTAAAACGTTCTCAGCGGTACCAGCTTATCTCCTATAGCTATGATTCGTGTGAATTTAATATTCATGATCGGTCATTCTACGTCAACATTGGCTAGTTCCAATACTTCGAATGCTTTCTCTTAAGTTTAACATCAGGCTTACAGAATTTGGCTGAGACGATTTACATTTTTTTATAACCAGACTAAGGGACAATACAAGTATGACTGGTACAGATACAGTGAAGAGTAAATGATCTACTATTAATTAAAATGAAAAGTATCTTTTTAGTTAACTTGCTCATCCAAGCTCAGTTTTGTAATGAAACTGATTTAAATTTCAGCAGTTGGTTATTAACAATATAATCAGAAGTAATAAAGTTAAATGTAGATAAGATACAGCAATTCAGTATTAGTGCAAGCTTTTCGTTAGGAATTTACTGATACATGGATTAGTGCATATCAAGTTACTGCACGTGCAAGTGATCAAATTTCAAGTACAATTATCACATACTCTATCAGAGGTTATGTCAGATTTATGCGAAATGCTCAATATATTGTTACGATTTAATGACAAATTTATTTTCTGTTTGTCTCTAAAAAAATTACAACACTAAACCAGTTGTCTCTTGAATTCACTTGGTGGATGGTGACTAGAACTGGAATCCAGGATGCTCATTTCGTCCTATTTAGGACTCGTCATACGGATGTACGTGCATTACCCAGTGAGTGATGGTGTCCCCACCCAGACTCGAACCCAGTGACCATAGTTTCAAACGCAAAAGCATTATCCACTGGGCTACTTGGTCCACAAAAGTCACTACTTTTGCAATGGGTCTTATTAATTATTTAATTCAATTTAAATTTCCAGATGAACTGATTTTTTTTATTACAGTTTGATTCCATACCGTGCTTTGGGACAAGTACGGAATTTTCAGCATGTGATATCGGTAGCCCAAATTTTGCAGGCCGACCATAGATATCAGGTGTGTGTCGGCAAGGGATCGAACCTCGGACCATGTGCATGGTTGGCGAGAGTGCTAACCACTGCGCCACTGAAGTGCTCCGTCTCAGGTTGACATGTTAGCTCCTTGTACAGCTGCCTCTTATCTGTTAAAAGCCCAAAACATTGTGTCAACCTTGGATAAGTAAAAAATACTTCAACTCAGGAAAATAACTGAGTGTTAATGTTCCATGCTGAAAATTTAAAGAAGAAAAACAACAAGTTGTAAGTGCATAATTTATTGCTTAAGCAGTAAATTACTCATTATGTCCCTTATATGACAGAAATGAATATTTCATAAATTAATTACGTTTATCAGCATAAGGAAAATTCTAAGTAATGTTTATAATATAAGTAAGCTTATAGTAAATCTGAGATATGACTATTACGCATAAAAACGCCTATAATGATGTTAGCGTACCTTCCCTGGAAAAAGGTGTTTTCTATGCGAATCGAAATGGACAATTTATAGTTAGTTTATCTTGTTTCCTGCATATTCCATCAAATAGTTTAGTTTATTAGGAAAATGGATAGGGAGTATTTATTTGTATAAGTGTACTTGAAAAGTAACATAAAAACAAAACAGTTAGACAGAAGATATTTTGTTATTTCTAATATTAATAGGGTACAGGA